GCACTTGCTTCTATGTTTTAGAAGCATCCAGGCCTCCCCATTGTCTAGGAGGTAGGGCTGAAGCAGCAGGACAGGAAGGTTGAGTTGCTTTGCCCCAGGCCACATAGGCACCAAGAGGCAGGGGCAGGATGAGTCAGGCACTGTCTGGAAGCTCAGGGTACCATCCTGCTTGTTCTCCACTAGGCCAAGAGAGGCCACTGTTTAGAAAACAGTCTGAATTTCTTTCGAGATTTGGAGTGTGGCTCAGTGGTAGAGCACCTGCCTAGAATCCCCCAGTGAAGGGCTGGGGTGTGGCTCAGTCCCTAATACAACACACATACAAATAAGGAAACCTATGAGCAACTCAGTGGGTGGTGCTCTCCAGTGACACAGGCTCCTTGAATGTTAAGGAGGGGGGGGGGCAACAGCAGCTGTGCTCTACAGGAAGAGAGGACAACATGTTTCTATCATCTACTTTCCCCCTGTGGTTTAAGAAGAAGGCTTTTGAACTAGTGGCTTCTCATGTGTTCAGGTTTGTTCCCTACCTGAAACATGTGGTTGTCTGATTCCATCACCTTTCATGGCCCAGTTGCAGTGCTAGGGACCTCCTGGCAACCCTTTGCCCACATGTGCCACACAATAGCCCAAATCCAGAAATTTCCACTTTGGCCTCAGAATACAGAATTCCTATAAGATGGACCTATAAAGGGGCCACAATGTTGATGGGTATCACAGGCTAACATTTCAGGCCGTGAGGCAGTGGCCATGTGTAGAATCTTTTCAGATCATTCATGGAATTTCAGGTCCTTTTCTTTGTGGTGGGTATGTCACACATATGCACATGTGTGTGGGGTGCATATGTATGTGCAGAACCAGAGGAAACCATGGGCACTGCTCCTCACTGCTTTTTTGTTTTGTCTTGTGACAGAATCCCTCACTGACCTGGAACTCAGGGATTCTCCTGTGTCTGCCTCCCCAGCACTGGGATTTACAAGCATGCATCACACTGGCTTTTGCACATGGGTTCTGGGGATTGCATTCTGATTCTTGTGTTTGCATGGAAAGGTCTTTACATGACTGAGCTATCTCATGGCTCCTGAATTTTTCTTTTCTGTTTGATCTGCTATATGAGGCTATGTGTTAAGTGGTTATACATAAACCTCCATTACAGGAGTGCAGCCAGCATCATTCTGCATGGATAGAACCAGTTGCTCTCCTGACATTCTTGGAGCAAAGAGAAGGAAAAATGTAACTGGAGTCTAGCACATTCATGAAGAATTCTTCCCACTCTATTCAGTCCCATGGTATTTTCTGAGGCTGCCACCAACCCTCTCTATCACCTCTTTCATGCCAGCCAAATGCCAAGAACTGACTGCTTAGTCAAGGACAGAATGCAACAGAATGCTGTTGTTGGGCTAGAGACAAGAAGCTCCTCGAACAGGGCTTCCCAGCAGCTCAAACGAGTGTCAGGATTCACACCATGAAGGCATACGGGCTACCATGCTATGAAGAATAGCTGCAGACTTCACCTACATAGTTGTGGATGCCTCAGCAGGGTGCAGTAAGCTGGACTTCCATGCCAGAGCCAGCCTGCAGCAGCTGTCCCCCCTAAGGGACAGCTGACACTCTGTTGATGGACAATGGCGCCATGAAGCTGCATGAATCTTCATGGACAGACATGACTTGGAAGCCACTCTTCCTGACCACCCAGTGTGCTGGGAAAAAGCTGAGTGTTTTGTGCCTAATCTATGGAAAGTGGGCCGTCACTGCACTTGTACACTTGACAAGATCCTCCAGAAGCTAGCTTGAAAGGTGCAGGCAGAATGAACACCTTGTTAACTACAGTCATGAAAGGCTCCTGTACCAACAGTTCCCAAGCTGAGGACACAGGCAGTTTTTGCACAAGCCCTCCAGGATGCTACAATTTTTGTCACCAAGGGAAGGTCTCTTCCTTCCCTTCAGAGCTACCTCTCAATTCTCTAAGATTCTGTTAGATGAACCAGCAAGCAACTGCAGAAGTTAGTTTTAAGAAGTGAAAAGGCCTATTACACAAGGTTAGCAGACACTATCTAGGTGTGTGCTCTCTTAACCCTGAGGACCCACGTAAAAAAGCTGAGGGGTCTCTGGCCAGCTAGAGCAACCCAGTTGGTGAGCCCCAGATTCTGCTGAGAGACCCTGCCTGAAAAAAAAGATTGACAGCTCCAAGTTGACTTCAGGCCTGTGCACCCCACTCCCCACACACAAAGGTCACCATGTAGCAACACTGGTATTTGAAAATGACATTAAATTTCCTTTGTGCCTCAAAGCTGGGATTATTGGAGGATACGAAGGCCCCATCTAGTTGGAATGTGGGCCTCTCCTCATTAGAGATCAGTGTATGAGTCACTAAGGACTAGATGGGATGGGAACTCCTGACACTGTCTCTAACTCCTGAGTGCTTTATAAGGTGCTAAGGATGGAACCCATGGCTACATGCATGCTACCAACCGAGCCAACAGCTCTTTGGCAAGGAGAAGGTCCCTAGCTGGCACTTTGCCCTTTGCCAAGGAGGGCTTTGACTGCCATGACATCCGAGCACAGAGGCCTCTGTTTAGGCCCTTGAGCTCTGCAATGACTAGGGAAACCTCACTAAAAGGTACAACTGACCAAGTGGGTAGAAGGCAGGTCCTTCAAAGTCCCTCTACCTTGGGGAGAGAAGTGAGCCCCGCCACTGTCCAGGAACTGACCAGGCCATGCTGTGTACCTCCAGGTACAGCTGTCAGTGATCTGTGAGGGGCAGAGTATGTGTGTCTCAGTTGATGGACCTCTGGGATGGGTTCCATAGTAGCCATGGCAAAAGAAGTAACCAGAATTTTATGAGATTCTCTGGACCAGAGAGTTCTTTTGGAGGAAACAATGATAAAGCTAAGATTCTAGAATTTTCTAGAGTCATTTATCACAAGGATTTACCAGTACTACCATTACAAAATAATTCCAGTTTTGGGGGGATGGGAATGTGCCTCAGTTGATAGAGTATTTGCCTAGCATGCTGAACGCTCTGGGTTCAGTCCCCAGCAATGAGTGGTGGTGCATACCTGTAATCTAGGCACTCAAGAGGTGGGGGCAGAAAGAGCAGAAATTCAAGGTCACCTTTGGCTACATAGTGAGTTTGAGGCTAGCTAGGGTTATATGAGACCCTATTTTGGTGGTGGGGGGGAGGCGAGGAAGAAGAGGGGAGAATAAGATAGCTCAGTTGATATAAATGCTTTCCACTAAACTTGATGACCTGAGTTCAAACCCTGGAACCCACAGTGTAGAAATAAAATTTCTACAAGTTGTCCTCTGATTTTGACAAACATGCTGCCACACACACACACACACACACACACACACACACACACACACACACATCTACCTACCTGTTAAAAACAAAACAAACCCCTTTGAGATCTATGGAAAAGGTTTTGATCAGGATTCTAAAGGATGTGGTACTGAGGGACACTTAGTGTTTATTTAGGAGTAAAAGGATTTCATTCATAAAGCATCCGCTCCAACATAACAAGCTTGGTCCAGCCTGGGATGGGCAGTAATTCAAAGAGAGCTGACTTCTCCCTGGAGTAGGAAGGAGGCCGGGCCACTTTACTACACAAACATATACAGAAGTGCAGCACAACCAACTCAGCCATATTCTCTCCTAAAGTCTGAGTATGAGCTATTGAGAAAGAATGCTGGTAATTTCTCCAGTGACTCTGTCCAATCTCTATTTTCCAGTATGGACCAAACCAAACCAGAACACCTGAAACCCATGAAATCTGTAGAGGAGAGCTTTGAGGCCACTGCTGTACTCTGACTCTATGTGTGTGTGTAGTGGGGGAAGTGTGTTTGGGATTTTGCAGCAGCAGCAGCTACTGCTAAAGCTGCCCAGCTGTTCCCCTCTATGCACATGTGTCCCCTCATAAGCCTTCTGGCAAGCTGACAGGCTTTGCGCTCACTCCTCACTTAGCTTTGTTTGTGTTTTCAATGAATCAATGGGATACGAAGACTAATCAACATGTTTAGAAAAATAGAGAAAAGAAAAAGAACAGCTCATGCTGCTGGCTGTTCCTGGGAGCAAAAGCTGGGCTGACTGTGGCTCAGTGCAGGAAAGCATGGTGAGAGCCTTGGAGCAATGGCTGTGGTCAGGGCATCTGTGCACTGTGGCCGGAGACCTCAGGGCACAGACAACAAATCTGTCAGGTCTTTGAGGTCAGTAAGAAGTGGCCCGAGCTTCATGGACAGCAACTGCTGCTCTCCTCACTTGCTCCCATCCTTTACTTTCAATCTTGGCCCCTCCTAAGCCCTCACTGAGTGTCCACTGAACTTCATCCTAGCTTTTCCTGGGGCTACTCTTCCCTGGCTTGTCTAGTCTGGTGCCCCAGTCTCCCCAGTTTCCTTGTTCCAGGTCTTCCAGATGGAAGAAATGTCTTCTCCCATGACTTCTGAGTCAGTGATGTCTGGGCCTTGTCACTCTTGCTAGACTGAAATCCCCTGACCAGGAAACTTGCCTCCAATAGACCCTAGCCTCAAACACAGAGCTTCATACTTACAAAACAATGAAGGGATCCAGTAAAGGCACAGATTTTATCAGTATTTCTCCTTAGCTGCTGACTCTTTGGACTGCCACCAGAAAGCAAGTCCAGAGTTTTCAAGCAGGACACTGCATTCTCTCTTTTTACTGCCATGTCAACTCTATGTATAATGGTCACAACCTAGAGACAGCCTCAATACAGTACAAACGTTGGTATAACCACACCATAGGAATACTACTCAGACAAGATGCTACACATCAGGTGAATGGATCTCAAGGACCCTCTGCCTAGTTAGAAGAAGCTAATTCTTAAAAGCCATTTCTTATATAATTCTATTTACACAATGGCCTCAGACTACAGCATGGCAGAGAGGGAGAGGCATCTGTTTGATATGGTTAGGAATGGGACACTTACTCCCAGATTCCAGATTTCTAGAGCAGAGGAGCTACCAAATAAACATGAATGGTTAGTTACCTGAGCTCACACAGCCCTGCTGGAGGGGGTCCTGCAGAGACGTCACTGAGTGGAGGACTGTGAAAGAAAAAAGGCACCATTACACAGGAAACAGCGCGTGGAGCTTCCTAACCGCACGAAAGATACTAGGAGGGTCAGCGGGGGTCCAGAGGGAGGGAGGCTTCCCATTCTCAAGCAGAGGGCCAAGATACTGGGTTGGGATGAGGGTTGTTGAAGCTATAAAGTGCTAGAAGCCTCACTCCAAGGTAGCAGAAGCCACCGCCTATGACACTCTCATTTCTGAAGTTCCTCTGGCTGGATTGTCGTCTCCGTTCCCCAGCCGAGGTACTTGACTTTTACCTGTATTTATATATAAACAGCATTTTCTTAATTGGTAACTAATTTTATGCTGCTTATAAAATTAGCCAGGCTCAGCCTCTTTACTCCTGAAACCTAAAGATGGAGACAGGCGTGGGGGTACATGTCTGTCTTTCCATCATTTGGAGGCTAAGGCAGGAGGATCGTGGGCTTAAGGTCTGCTTTGGCACTATAGTAAGTCTGAGGCTAGTCTGGGCTACATAATGAGTTTGAGGTCAGTCTCAAACATATAAACAGACCCCCATCTCACCACTCCTCATGCCCCAATAAAAACTAACAAAGAACCAAGTGAAAACAAAGCCCGTGGGCGGAGGCTGTCCTCGCCAGGCTCTTGCAGAGGGTGGTTGTCTGTTCTCACCTGGCCCTTGTTGCTGCCCTTGCACAGGCAGAACACCCTGGCCTAGCTCTCCATTCAGCCAGAGCTGCATCCGGATGAAGGGTTCTCTGCCTTTCTGGGTCAGTTTGCTCCATGGCTTTGGCCTTGAGAGCATGTCACTGACACTGCCTTGGGACAGGCCCAGCACCTGGAGAAGCAAACAAAGGAAAGCGACTGTCAGCTTCCAGCAATCAGGAAAGTAGGTGCCTTAGAGACATACATGTGGCCCTGTAGGACCTGGGGGAGATGGAGCCACCTACAAAGTGCATTTGAGGACTCTCTTCAGCACAGAACCACAGCCTAGTGCGCTGTGACCATTTGCAGGGGTACGCTTACTGATTACTGGTAGGATAAAGTCTTGGGACAGGACAGGGGTTCTGGGCAAAAGAAATTGTTATAATCACAACTTCTACTGTGAGTGTGGCTCAGAGCAGGATACTTGCCTAGAATCTCCCATTGAGAGGCCAGGGGTATGGCCCAGCGGCAGAGTATATGCCTAAAACTTGCCAGGGGTGGGCTTGGGATGTGCCTAACCCATGCAAGGGCCTGGGTTTCAAACCCAGCATGATCAAAAACAAACAAGAGAAAGTATAGTCACAGCTCTTATTGGGAAAAAGGCGAGAAAGGAAAGGATCAGCTTTCTCTGGGGTCTGGACCCTGTACATGCTGCAAGGTTGTGCTCTTCAAAAACAAGGAGCAGACATTACAGAGCATCTTGCTCTTTGCCTGGTATTATCAGGACAGGCTGGGGTACTGGAATCAGAGCCCACAGGAATTGGGAGATACTGGAGGGGCATAGGAAGCTGACTCCTGTGTGGATACAGGGCCAAAAGGGTATTTAGAAAGGTCACTCTCTCTGATCGTGCCCTGCTCACAGGTTGACCACAGGAGAGTTGGTGGGGACAGTGAGCCAGTGTGGGAGCAACACTGAGCAGCAGACGACTGACAACTTGCCTGCACGCACTCAGGCTGCTGCCTCTTACATATGGCCATACATATGTATGGGCACAAACACCCCCCAGGGCACAGATGTAGCCCAGAGATATTTAGGGGCCTCATCCCATCACTCTGCAAAAGTTTTCCAGTTCCAGAATAAGCAGCACTCATGGGCCAAACAAATTCAACGTTATTAAGTCTGCTAAATTTAAGGTGGGAGCACAAAATGCCTATTTAAATGTTCACAAATTTTATTTTTACAGTGCTGAACTCAAAATTAACCAGGAACTTTCAATTCACATCCTCATGTCTATGCACACCATCACTTACTACAAAATTGGGACAAGGAAGTCATAAACAGACCACAGAGTTCAAGGCCAGCGTACAGATGAGACAGAGAAAGACTGGGTGGGGAGGGGTGGGTATCCAACTGGTCTGTGAGGGCACTGATGACTCACTTCCTGTGTCATCTCAGGAAGGGAGGACTTCTCTTTATATTTGGCAACTCATGGCTTAATCTTTAATGATATAGGTTATTATGTTCATTTTAGATTTTACAAGCATGGTTAATCCTGTTATCCTGAATCTGTCATCAGATAGGTCTAGAAGCGCATCCATAAATAATTACACTTTCATGAGGCAGGAAGAGATGATGTGTGAAGCTCTGCATGATTCTGTGTGGCAGTCCTAGTGTAGAGAAAGGAACAACTAGGAGCCAAGCAGTAGCACGTGCCTGTGATTGTAGCATGTGAGGTATAGGTAGGAGGATTCCTGCTAGGGTGAAGCCAGCCTGGGCTATACAATGAGTTCTAGGTAGGCAGGACTACATAGGGAGACCCTACCTCAAAAAATAATAAACTAAATAACAGTGAAATGAAACAAACACAAGAAAAGAAAAATGCAACAAAATAACCAAGGAGCAATTATGTTCTGTAGCTTTTTACTCTCACAGGTTCTTCAGTTCTCAGAAGGCTGGTCCACTGTGTGAGCTGGTCCTTAGGGCCACAATGGCTTGTAGAGGTATCTCTCTGCTGCATGGGGCCTCAGAAGTAGAGTAGGTACAGGTCACCTGCCAGCAGGCTACATGTAGACACTAATGAGCCATGTGTCCCTAATCTGCTGTGTGTCAATTTTACCAGTTACTAAGCAGGACAGCTGGGATATACAATATGGCACAAAGTGGGTGGCCTCTAGAATTTTGGGAGTTGGTGGCATCTAACATTCCTGTCATGGTCATGCACTTTGTCCTCATGCCTAAGAAGAGATGGGAAACCATGCCTGACCCCTTACCTTCTCCCCGAAGATCCTCTGGCAAATGCCATTCTTGGCCAGCTTCTCTTTGACCTGCCGGGTGAGCTCAATGGTGTCCACTTCCTGATACATGTAGACCTCGTACTGCTCAGGAGTCAGTGGGGGCACTGAGGGCTTTGCCGGTTTTGCCATGGGCACAATTGGGGAGGAGGGCAGAGGGCTATTCTGGGGTGTCTCGCTGCGGCTGGCTCCAGTGAGGCTCAGCTCTGAGCTCTGGGAGTATGGAGACTCAGCATTGGGCCACTCCTTCCAGTACTCTGCTGATGACGAGGGTCCCTGAAGCTGGCTGCGCTCAGCCCGAGACTGGCTGCTGCTTGCCTTTTCTTTCCCACTTGCAGATGCTTCATCAGCCTTGGTCTCTTCAGAAGAGGTGAGATTTCTCCTTTCAGGCTGTATAGGACTCCACCAGGGATCCTTCCAGGTGCTGCCACGCAGCAGCTCACTCTTCGCCTGCCTCAGTACCCCCTGGGCAGCATCAGTTGTCCCTGGTGGGTCCAGCCCGGGTGCGTCCTGAGCCTCTTTTTTGAGGGCTGGGGCACTGGGCAAGGCCGAGGTACTGGCCTCAGGTGCTGTGGGGGTTTTCTTCAGGGGGATGGCAAGAGGGGAGTAAGTAGATACAGTAGACATGGGTGAGGCAGACAGGAGCTTGGGGGTGAGGATGGCAAGGTCAGGCTGGGACAGTGGTGCTGGCTTTAAGGCAGGGTCAAGGGCGGCCTGCTGGGCCTCCATTTCCCGGCGGGCCTGCTGTAGGATGGAGCGGATGGCATCATCAGAGTTCCCACTGCTGGATGCAGAAGATGGCTGGACTGGCTCAGCTGGGAGGGATAAACACAGGGTCGAGTTGTGATAGGATGGTCCCTGGCCACTGTGGGCTTCGTCCCACCCTGACCTAGTAGAATGCAGATTATCTGGGGATGGTCACTACACTGTGCCATTTCCCTAATATCCCATCATCAATGAAACATGAAAATACCTATATACCTTGTTAGAGAGGGGGGACACAGAAGATTGACACTCCTGTTCAATGGCCTAACAGCTTTTGTAACATAGCAGCTGGCTTTCCAACTGTGAAGGGTGATCAATGGGGACACACATTACTCCTACCCCAGCTTTCTTTTTTACATTAAAAAAAATTTATGTTTATTTATTTTATGTGTATGTATGTGTGATGTGGTGCATGATAGAAGTCAGAGGACAAATTGCATGAGACAGTTCTCTTCTTCTACGGTATGGGTGCCAGGGATCAAACTCAGGCTGTCAGTCTTGGTGGCAAGGGCCTTCACTTGCTAAGCCATCTTGCTGTACCCCTTCCTTCCTTCCTTCCTTCCTTCCTTCCTTCCTTCCTTCCTTCCTTCCTTCCTTCCTTCCTTCCTCCTTTCCTCCCTTCCTTCTTTGTGTGTGTGTGTGTGTATGTGTGTGTAGCATACATGTGCTGCAGAGCTCCTGTGGAGGTTATAGGACAACTTTGTCTTTTCAGCTTGTTCGATATAGAGTTACTGTTGTTGCATTAACTAGGTTGTCTGACCCGTGAGACTCTGGAGATCCTCCTGTCTCCAATTGGATCCCTGAGGGGTGGGGGTGGGGCAGGGTTACAGATGCTTCTGCTACTCTGATTGTTAATGTAGGTTCTGGGGATCCAAACTCAGGTCTTCAAATTGTTTTGCCCAATGACTCATCTCCCTAGATCCACTTTGGCTTTCTTTCCTGGAGAATTTTAAGCTAAATACCAACTCTCAAGAGCCACAAACCCACACTTCTTTAGGTTTTGCCAAACTTGGGAAGCACGATTTCTGTTAATGTCTACCAGAAGTCAGAGTCTCTGACGGATCAATGACAGTCTCTTCTAATGAGCACCTGGGTGTGGTTAGCAGTGGGGAGGTGACATTAAAAACACAGCTGGGCATGGTGGCACTCTGGAGGCAGGGACAGGAGCATCATGAGTTCAAGCTATATAGCAAGACCCTATCTTACGTACAAAAACTAAAACAGCTGCCCTGTCCCCACAGAAAGAGAAAACATAAATCTAGATCATACTTCCCTCTGTATAAGCCTAATGTATGAAACCATAAACTCTGTATTGATTTAAAAAGAAAAGACAAGACAAAGAGTATAATTACTGTTGACCAGAACACTGGTAATAATTAGGTCTGAAGACAGAGGAAGTAGTAGCCCTACCGGTTTTCTGCACTTGGAGCTCCCTCTTGGCTTGCTCCAGGATGGACTTGATTGCTTCATCAGAACCAGTCTCAGATGCTCGGATCCGGGTAGTGATGTTACCTGCAGGGAGAAGTCACAGTGATGACATCGAAGCCAGATTTCAAGTGGAAAATAAGCGCTGCACGAAGACATTCTGACACAGGGCCCCCACGTGAGGCATGGTTTCCCACTCATCCCTAATTGTTTGAGTTCCTGGCATGGATGTGGAACGCACCTGGCAGGAAGTTTCCTGCTGAACCTGTCACAAGGTCAATGCCACTCTGTTGGTAGAATATCACTTGAGCTAGACTGTGCCTATGGGGTTAGTACCAGACAGGTACAATATAGGAAAAGAGAGTAAATTGAGAGGCAATGTTTTTTTTCATGAGCTTTAATTAAAAAGCTTTGGCTTGGGATATATTCAGGCTCTGTACATTCCCCCCCAACCTAAACATAAACGTGGAAGGAAGGCAAAAGGTAAAAGGTTGAGCCTGAACTCGTGTGTGTGTGTGTGTGTGTGTGTGTGTGTGTGTGTGTGTGTGTGTGTGTGTGTATGTTACTGGGGATTGAATTCAGGGACTTAGCCATGCCATAGACTTTTACTGGGAGAGTATAGGTAAGCACTTTAATCACTAAGGCATGTCCCCAGCTCATTACTGTGGGATGCTAGGCAAGGGCTCTACCATTGAGCCACAACCCCAGCCCCTCAATGGTGATTATAGGCAGGTGCTTTACCACTGAGCAATGTACCTGACCCTTCACTAGGAGATTTTAGATACGTTCTACCATTGAAACTAAACTATACCCCTAGCCATGGGTGAGATCAATCCTGGATCACTCACTGAGATGTGACAGGTGAAGAGGGATGAGGGTGAACATCAACTTTTCTAGATCTATAACTATGTATTGTGTTTTTGAAATTTACCAAGAACAAGGAGAAAAACCTGTTGGGAGCCCTAAGGACACAAATGCATTCTTCTGGTCACATGGCAGTACTCTGCATAGCAGATACATGTGCAGATGCCCTGAAGATACTAGGACTCATGGTTGGGCCCAGATCTTTGTGGAAGCTGTCCAGACATTGTAATTGCTCACTACCTTTCTCAGTAGACATGTCACATTAAACCATTTAATAATGAGATACTTTGGGAAGGAGCCACTTAAAGGAGCATGGTGAAGGTTGGCTCACCAATGCCTGTGGAATACTCAGCTTTGTTTGGAATCTGAACACATTATGGGATTTGACATATGTTAGAGTTAAAAATTTGAGGAAGCAGCAATATCTGGTTTGATATGGCCACCTGATTTTTCTCAGAGCACAACTGTTCTGTCACCTGCTTCTGAGAAAACAAGCATGGTGTCCCTGGAATTAAACGTAGGATTGATGCTGAGGGTACTGATGTTGGGTATGGCTTGTCTAGCTTTGGCAGCTCAACAGGAAAGGGGCTGGCGCCTTTGAACCCGTGCTTTGTTTTATACTTACTAGCTGTTTTTCCATCAGGTTCCAGGCCAGAATTACAATGCACAGCTTTAACCCAAATATACAGCTAAGGACATGCTGCTTCCTAGGTTACTGACTGCAAAGAGAAACACCTGCCTGAGACATACCTTCAGACCCATTTCTTCGTTTCGGTACTTCCTGAAAGAGTCTGTTCAGGCTCTGGCCTGGATTCTCTGTTGAAAAACAAGTGCGGTAAGAACAAAACAATCAGGGGGATGGTGGCGTCAACGACATGGTCTGTGTGACATGAGAGCTGAGCCGCCTGCCTCTAAAGAAAGGGCTCAAGCTTCCTGTGTAACATGGGAGCTCCTAACATCTTACTACAGGCAGTGAGTGGGTCTACTGGAGGAGGAGAACCATCAGTAATCACCACTAGGAAGGGCAAAGGGAGGGGAGGTGCTTGCCTGCCAGTCAATGATAGAGCTCACATTAATCATCCAAAGACATCCGATTTCAGTTAACGTTACCAAAAAGTGCGCTGCATTCTTGGTGTAAAAACCCACGCTGTTTGGTTTGTTCATCATCTCCACTCTGAGTTTTAGTCTAAAATTCAGGGTGCTTCAAATGTGGCTGAAAACACTGTCCTTCTATGTCACTGTTGACTCTGCCCAGGGATCCCTGTTCTTAAGAAGGAATTATTTACACTGTGGGAGTGTCTGACTTTCTATCATTTTATGAAGGGTGTGGTATGAAGGGGAATTGAATGAAAATTTCCTTTGATTTATTGTAAGCAGGCATGTTTTATTTGTGGCACTAAAAAAAAAAATATCACTAATTGGACATAAACAGCAAGATGTTCAAGGGACCTGTTCTCTTCTAAGGTGAAGGAGGCAGAGGGTAGGATTGGTAGGCTCTCCCCACAGAGCCAGTGCCTTGTGAGGATTACAGCTGTTTGTGCTCTTGGGACAGAGTTGGATGGCACCCACCCCATGAACTGCTCCTGGAGGGAAGCCAGCACCTGGTGCCAGGTGGACCCAGGGATGCCAAACCTGTCAGATGACACGCATGACCTAACTTTCTCTAATTAAACACAGAGCAGTGAAATATTGAGTTTACTGAGCACAAGGTACTAACCACACTCTCCAAGGTCAGAGTTCCCAAATCTAAGGGTTTCTAGCTCCTGCTGGCTGACCCTTGAACTCTAGGCAGGGTAGTACTGAAGAACACTTTCCCTGATGTGATGTACAAATGTTTCATCTCACACACACACACACACACACACACACACACACACACACACACACACACACACACACACACACAGAACTGCACCAGGCACACATGGATATGTCTCACCTCTCTGTCTGCCTTGGATGCTACGAAGTGCCAAGATGTTCTGCTCATCAGACAAGAACTGCTTCATTTTGTGAAATGGCTCCTTGCCACGGACAGTCAGCTTATTCCAGGGCTTTGGCCGGGCCAGAATCTCACTCACAGACCCTTGAGATAGTCCCAAGACGTAATGTCCAAAAATGCGCTGTCCAATGTTGTGCTTGATCAGCTGTTCTTTGACCTGCCGGGCGATTTCTGCTGTATCAATTTCCTCACCCTCCGAGACGCTCCCAGCACTTTCTGACTGGCTGGGAGATGGGGCCATGCCATTTACATCTGGGCTTTGTTGTAATGGACTTGGGGAAGATATGGAGTTTGTGCTGTAAGGACCTGTTGAAAAAATCGTGCTTGTGCTTCCGGCTTCCTGCATGGCCTTGGAGTAGAAGGACTGCATTAGCTGTCGCTGGAGAAGAGAGTTTAGTGCAAACTTTCCTGTAGAAGCCAGGGGTAGGCTGGGGCTGGCCATGTTTGAGCTGAAAAAGTCTTGACTTAACCCCGCTGGTGAGAAGTGGTGTGTACCGTTAGTATTGGAAACCTGTTCCCCCGTGTTGCGGGGCAACTGAGGAGGAGGGGAGGCCGGCAAGGGTCCCGGGCGCCGACTCTCAGGCTGGTCTCTCCCTTTTCTCCTGGCTGACCCTACAAGGAAGGGCAAACAGAATGCATTATGGGGGATTCAAAAGGGAAAAAAAACCAAGACCAGAATTCAAAGTGTGCCCCACAAAAAAAGTGCAGATTTCTTTTTTCGATTTTTTTTTTTTTTTTTTAAACAAGGGCCAAAGTGGTGTGTTGGTTTGTTTTTCGATTGAATTTGTGAATCAGCCAAATGAGGCCCCCCAAAACAAGCCACATGCATTCGTGTTTGCACCTTTCTTGTACGTTGCAGCCGGGAGAATCTCCTTGACAAAGGTTCCGGTAACACACATGGGAAAGAGGTGACAGGTCTTGGGGCTTCTAGCATCACAGTTACCCCAAAGGCTCTGCCTGAGGACCAGCAAACACTGACATTTGGGGACCCATGGGGTCGCTCACACCACATGCTCTGAGGCAGATGCACCCATTGAGTTCCCTCGATCGAAGTCGCGCGCATTTTAAAAACTGCATTGTCACTAGAGTTCAGATAACAGTTACACACTTTGACCAGCTGCTAAATCCAAAAGCAGTCAGTGGCTCCACCATTTTAGGATGAGCAAATAAGAGGCTATGGATGGGGGAGGGACTGTGTCCCCAAAGAAAACCTCAGAGAGAAGAAAAGTACCACTGGAGGGCCGGCGACCTCTCAAAGCACACTCTAGATGGAGAGTCCCCAGAGGGATGCCATGCTTGCTTTTTATCCCTGGCCTGTTCATAGAACAACTAGGAAAAGATCAGAAAGCCAACATTCTCAGGGTGTCCCTCCTGGGACCTTTCCATAAGGCCCCTAGTTGACCCCTGTAGATTTGCTGTGGCGCACACGCGTCTCGCTGTAGAATGGGGTGGGCAGAGCAGTGAGGGAGTGGGACACTAAACACTCAGGGTTAGTCCATCAAGTCTTTGGTCACCCAGCGGCGCTCCCATCATGCACACACAAACCCAGATGAAAGGTTCACCCTCCTTGTTCTTGACCCCTGGAAGCGAACCAAGCACAGTATGTATGTGATGCCCATCCACCTACCGCTCAGGTCACTGTTGGAGATGCGCAGCGTGGCGTTCTCAGACTGCAGTGAGCGGTTCTTCTCCAGGAGTAAAACCTCTAGGGGCTTGGTAGAGTCCTGCACAGGGCAGAGCAGGGATCACCATGGGGCCACTCTGAGCCCATCCACTCACTAATCCAGCTTCCATGACCCTGCAGCACTCACCACGGACTTGACGACTTCCACAAGGGAAAAAAAACTCAAGGTCCCTGAACAAAGGACTTAGTTGAGATGATTTTTGTCTTTAAACTCAGCTATCCTTTCCCTGTTTTTCGTGTGTGTGTGAGTGTGTGTGTGTGTGTGTGTGTGTATACCTGCATGTGGAGGCCCCAGGGTTGATCTCAGACATCATCCTCAATCACTTACTTTATTCACCGAGGCAGGGTCTCTCAATCAAACTCAGAGCTGGCTGATGTGGTTATTAGTCTCATCAGCCAACTTGCTTTAGGGAATCCCCTGCCTCTTCCTTCCAAGGCTGGAATTACAGCAGGGCCATCACACCCACCCAGTGTTTACATGGTGGTTTCTGAACTCCTGGCCTCAGACAGTGCTTTACCTGCTGAGCCACCTTCTTAGTTGACAATTATTTTCTATACTATTCCAAAAATTCTGCAGTATAAGCCTGGACATCATTTGGCAATAAGAAAAACTGCTGTCCTTGTCAGAAAGCAACGAGGAACCTGTTTTTGTTTTATTTTTGTCCATTGTGAAGATGCCAACTGCCTTCTGGATAATGGGAACAAGACTATACTTGTGATGTAGGTTTTATTTATTTTAGAAAACTTTTCTTTTACTTTGTTTCCTAGGCTAGCCTCAGAGTACTGGGCTCAAGTGATTTTCCTGCCTCAGCCTTCCAAAATTTGGTACTATGGATGCACCATCACTTCTGGCTTTATGATATTTTTAACATATTGTGTGTATATGAAACGTGGTCTCACATAGTCTAGGCTAGCCTTGGACTTGCTATGTACTTTCAGGGTGGTCCTGAATTCTTCCAGCCTCTATTCCTGAGTGCTGGTATTACAGGTATGTGCCATTATGCATGGCTGGAGATGTAAATTTTAATTGGCTGCCAGATAACAGGATACCACTGTCACCTGTTCCCTGAGTTAATGCCACTGAGGCAGTACACAATTAAATTTCCAGGTCAAGCTATTTTTTGATTGATCTTTAACACAACCTCAAATATTTGCTGATGTTGTTTTTGGTGTTGGAATTGAACCAAAGCCTCATACATACTGAACATACATGTTACCACAGAATTGCAACCCAGCCCCTGAAATTGTCATTGCTATTACTTTTCAGATAGGATCACATTATATAGTTCTGACTGGCCTAGAACTCCCAGAGATCTGCTTGCCTCTGCCTCCCAGGTGCTGAATTATAGGTGTCACCATATCCAGCCTGAAATTATTTTTCAACTGTGTTTTTAGTATGGGCCCAAAATGAAGCCTCAGCATCCCCAGAGCCAACTGAGGAACTTGGCAAACACTAACCTCTCTTTTACTGAAGATCATTTGCTTTCACTTGGTCAAGTCTTGTTATTACTTTTAAAGATGGTCTCATGGACCCGAGGCTAGCCTTAAGTTCACTAAATAGTCAAGGTTGACTGTGAACTTTGGCCACCTGTCTTTCTCTACAAAGTTTGGGATTACAGCCTATGCCCCATTTATTCTGTCAGTGCTGGAAATGGAACCAGAGTTTCATGATGCTAGGTAAGCACTCTAACCAACAGAGTCTCATGCCCAACAAGGATGGGTCCTTCCTTCAACCCTCTATTTTCTTTTTATTGTTGTTAAGACAGTAACTCATGGAATAGCTGAAGCTGGCCTCAGACTCCTGATCTTTGTCTTCCCCTCCCAAATGCTGGCATTATAGGTGTGCACTACCAGGCTCATCTGGTGAAAAGCTCTTGAGGAAGGATTGGCAGCTGTAAGCGAGGCCAGCAGAGACCAGCAGCTGCTGCTACCACCCTGGGAAGAAAGTGAGCTGATGTACCTGTGTCCCTGCTCCTTCCGATGGTGCAAACTCCATGGACTTCAGGGTGCTGAAAAAGGCAAGACGCATGGTTACTTTCAACTGTTCCCTTTACTCGTGGCCTCTCAATAGGCATTAAGGCTTCCGTTCCTGCTCCACAGGCACTAAGAAACTGACAACTTTAACAACTTCCCTGACAGGAATTGAATTTGATAATGCCTCTAGAAGAGCCAGTCTTCAACTAGCAGTTGGTTAGCAAAAGGTTTTTTTCGCCCAGCATGTAAATCACTCCATATGAAGTCACACCAGGTCTGCTCAGACTCATTTTACAGTGTAATACAGACATCACATTGTTGCAAGCTGAATGGATTTGTACTTATAGGAAATGGGAAGTTTATGAGGGGAGGGCAGAAGGAGAGGAACATATCACCCATGGCCACTGCTCATGTGCTCTCTGGGAACTGGTGCTTGCTTAGGAATGAGGAAAGAGATAGGGGTAGTTCAGAACCAGGAGGGCAGACTTTTGCAGCCCCAGATGTGGTGAGGGGCAAAAAAAGTATTGCTTCACTGTCTCCTTTGCAATCAATATAGGCTGTGGGGCTCTGGACTGTCTGAACAAGCAGGAGCTACAAGCAGATCAGGCTCATGGATCTAATGTTCTTATGCTCTCCGTGTGTGTGTGTGTGTGTGTGTGTGTGTGTGTGTGTGTGTGAGTGTGTGTGTGAGAGAGAGAGAGAGAAAGAGAGAAAAGTGTGTTCACATATGTGTGTCCATATGCAATGTTCTCCTCTGGCCTGGCCTGGCTGGTCAGTGAGCCTCACAAGAGCTGCAACCTAAGACTTGACAGGATCTACAGTCACCTAGAAGGATACCTTTGCACTTGTCGATGAGGGACTTTCTAGGCTGAGTGAACTGAGGTGGAAGACCCATTGTGAATATGGGTGGCATGAGTAAAAGAAGAAAGTGAGCTGAGCACCAGAATCTACTTCTCTCTGCTTCCTGACTGTGGAAGTAGTGTGTTTCAACATTTCTTGCTTCTCTTCCACCGTGCCTTCCCTGACACCATGGACTGTACTTTCAGACCACGAGTCAAGATAAACCCTTCCCTCCCACTAAGGTTACTTTTGTTTTGCAAGGGATTTTGTTATTGCAACAAGAAAAGGAACTAATGCAGAGGGATTCCAGGTAAAACTAAAGGAGTAAGGTATCTACATGGTACAGCTGGGGTGGGGGATGGGAGAAGTCAAGAAGAACCTTGAGTGGCATACCACCTTGACTATAAATCATGGTGTAAAGACAGGTACCTACAGAGACCACTCACAAGAATACAGGGTGAAGTCGAGGGGTAGCTGGAGATAGCCAAGTAGGGGTAATAGGAGAGCCCTGTGCACTGCACGTGGGGGTGCAGGACAGGGTCTGTGAGCTGGGAATGCCGTGGCCTAAGGGATAGAGGGACAGGAGAGGGTTTGGGAGCTCAGGTTCAGGAGGAGAAGTCAGAGATAGAAGGGGCCGGAAGGGACCATCCAAGCTTTCAAATGCAGTCAACAGCATAGAGGAAGACTGATTTTTGACAGGGAATGGAATCTGGAAGAAGACGGGTGGTCCTGCCTATAGAAGGCCCTATGGTGTAAGGCCCCGAGTTTTCAATGGAAAATGTTTTCTTCCTCTTCTGTTTCTGCTTGAGGGATTTACACTCGAGAAACAAGCTCAGACTGTACAACTGTTGTAAGTGCAGCATTTGCTGACTCCATGCATGCTGGAGTACTTGAAATGCAGTCCCATAATGTTCAAAGAAAGACAGGGATGTGGCATAGTTGGGAGGCTGCTTTCCTAGTATTCATAAGGCTTTGGGTTCCAGCCCTAGTACAGCATAAACCAGATGTGGTGGTACAAATTTATAATCCCAGCACTTGGGAGGTGGAGACAGGAAGATCAAGATCATCTTGACTATATATGGAGTTTTAGGTCAGTCTAGATTACATGAGACCCAATCACAAAGCAATCAGCTAACCACCCACCCAGTCACCCACCCACCCACCCACCAGAACCCTGTAAGAGGCTTGAATGAGAACAGTCGAAGTGCCTGGTGGCTCTGGATTGGGTTTGGGTACCACTTTGCACCCATCAGTAGACATGGAAGGTCCTATGCTTCTCCATACTTACTTCAGCTCTTTCTTCACCTCTTCATAGTCAGCCTGGCCTTTGAGTTTTTCTTCCAGTTGCTGAAAACAGAAAGGTTTTTATTAGTAGCCATGTCTTAAAGAAGGCTACCAGACTTCAGTGATGACAATCCCTATGAGCAACCCTGTATTCAGGGAGCCAACGATATGGGTGCCAACTTTTCTCTTATGACCTGGTGTGAGTGTTCATGTATGCGCGCGCGCACACACACACACACACTCAGAGGCATGGACACACAACCATAGGTTTTAGTGTAAAACTCAGTGACAGTAAAAGGGAAAAGCTTTACAAAGGTAGAAATATCCCACTGTGTATAAAATGTCAGTAAAATGCCTAACATTTCAAAGGAAGGCATCATGTGGTTTTTGAACAAATGTGTTTGACTGCCTGGAGAGTACAGGTAAAGCTCCAATTTTGGTAGAATCAGCCCTCAGCTGTTCAGTGGAGGGCTAAACAGCACTGGGAAGAAAGCATGTTCATTCTGGAGACTTAGACATTAGGATCCAGGAAACAGAGGACAGTTCTGTGGTGTGGCTCACTGAAACTTCATTCTTATAGGAATGGCTCTGACTGATAAGGACTGGCTCTACTGCCTTCTGGGGCAAGACAGTGTATTTCCAGAGTGATAATATGCTTAAGTGTTCCAGAATATTCTGTAAGCTTGTGGGAAACATCCATGGCTATCTTTACACTAATAGGCTTTCCTGGGGTCATGTGGTAAGTCTGAGGTGCTTCCTTCCAAAACCTGTTTTGTCTTTGAGGCCTTGGGGAGATAGGGCCACTCCAGATAAACCCTGAGTCTGCAGGGCAGGATCCCGGTGAATCATCATGTTTGAGCTGAAAAAATTCCAGGCTCTCAGCAGCTAGCACCTTGCTTACTATTTATGGAGCCCCTAGGTGTCTCTTAAGGTTCTGGTTGAGGCCAATGGAGAATATTCTAGAACCTGAGGAGGAAAGGCTTGCTTGGTCCATCTGTAGGGGAACCTACTCAGAGCTTCAAGCAGACTGCTGCTTTCTTTTCTTCACAATCGTTCATCTCATTTTCTTCTATTGCCTCTGCTGACAGAGTTCTTGTGTATTTCCCATTGCATAAAACTGCTCTACCTCATTGCCTTTTAAATATCTCTTGCTAACTTTATAAATTACAATGGTTTTCTCAGGGATAATCAAATGAAGGGTGGTAGGCACTCATTTTCCCATAAAAGACTCTCAGAAGGTGTTCTGAAAGAAGTGATTATTTCATTCCTCTCCCTACAGTCAAATAGCAGGAAGCATTAATGTACCGCCTACCCTTGAAAAGTGTTATCCGCGGTGTTTCAGAGAATGGCGGAAGGCAGGGAGAGAGACAGTGATGTGGTGTGTCACAATCTAACAAGGCCAACAGCACGAGTGCGGCCTTTCTGACAAACCAGGCGTCTTTGGGGCAGCCGGTGTGTTTCTCTTCCATAACCCAAGAGCAGCAGCAGGGGGGGAAACTGGTGGGAGGAGGTGCTAGGCCCCTCAGGGCTGAGATTCTTGTTACTGCCAAGTGTATGATACACTTGGTTACCCTGTGATGAGGCTATCAAAGGGAGGGCTGGAAGAGCAGCTCATTGGCAGAGTGCATGAAGCCCTGGGTTCCATCCCCTGCAGCACACAAACTGGGCATGGGTATATATATATACCTGTAATTCAGGAAGCAGAAGGGGAGGCAGATGCTCAAGACCCTTCTCAGTTACACAACTAGTTTGAGGCTAGTGTTAGCTACATGAGATCTTGCTTCAAAGAAAAAGGCTGTTGTAACTAGAATCTGTGTTTTATTATTGTGTGTGTTACTTATATGTGGGGCCATAGTATGTATGTGGAGGTCAAACGGGAATGTTTGTGGAGTCTGTTCTTTTCTTCCATCTTTTCGTGGGCCCTGAGGATTGAACTTAGATTGTCAGGTTTGTATGGGAAGTGCCTTCACCTGCTGAACCATTTCAGCAGCCTGAAAATTGTATGCATTTGGCCTTTAATACCAGCACTTGGGAGGCAGAGGCAGTGAGTTTGAGGCTAGCCTGTTCTACAAAATTTAAGTTCTAGGACAGCTAGAGCTGCCTTGAAAAAACAAAACAAAACAAAACAAAAAACTAAACCATGCAAACAAACAAAACCCCTCCAAATTTAAAAATAAATAAAAATAACAAAATAAAAAATTTACTACTACTGCTACTACTATTATTACTATGTATATGCATGTTCATTGTGTATGTGGTCAGAATACAATGTTTGTGGAGTTGGTTCTTTGACCTTTGTGTGAATCCCAGTGGATCAGGTTGCTAGGTTTTCATTCAAGTGTCTTTACCCACCAAGCCACTTGGCCAGAGTGTTTTTGTTAGGTATAACAGTGCTCAGCAAGAATTAAACAGCTTCCACTGAAATTTCATATTTTAACTAGACAGTTTTATAGAGAAGACCCCATTATTTATTTTTGTAAATTTCAATGACATTTTTCATCTTGGGGAGACAAAATTGCTAGGAGCTTGTGAAAGCTTGTTTGCACCTTCAGAGTGCCTTTGGCCTGGCCCTTAACCCCAGAATTCAATGCGGTCTCCTTAGATAGGAGTGGCTTCAGTTGCCTATGCAACTGGATCAAACACAGGCTGTCTGGCAGGTCCTCTATTTATTGAGCCACTTTGCTGGCCTGTGATATTATCTTATAAATTAAATACCTAATTGAGGCTTAGCTCAGATCTCTTTGTTTTGAGACAGGGTGTCATGTAGCCTCTCTGGCTTTGAGCTTGCTTTATACCCAAAGATGACCTTGAACTTCTGATCTTCCCATCTCTACCTCTAGAGTGCTGAGGATTGGTAGGCACTAGTAACCCAATTTATGCAGTGCTGGGGATGGAGCCCAGCTACACAAGCACTCAATCAACTGAGCCACATCTAATAAACCTGAGAGTTGCTAGCCTTTCCCATAAACATTCATTTTTAATTGAAGGTACTAGTGACATTATTTTCCATGCTACAATGAGGACAATGCAGGTAACTGGCTAATTGTACTACTCCATGACAAAACCATGGGCCAGTTATCAAAAGTAGCTGCCTGTTGTGGCAGCTGGTTTACTTCATTAATTATGAACTTGAAATTATCCACCACAAATGGCACAGTGCTGCTGCGCACTTGTCAGACTGGGCAGGAAGAAACAGTCCCCACTCACAAGCCAGTTTCCACAACTGTTTAAAGGTGAGAAGACATGGATAGTGATGAGCTAACTGTGACATTTGTATGAAAGAGTAGAACCTTGGCCAAGAGAAACTAGTACACATGAAACCCCATGGTGGAGGGAGGGATGGGACAGTTTCAACATGCTGGGGCATGAGGAGCAATTAATGAGATACCTGGGGTGTTCAATTACAGACAGTGCCAGGAAAATATACTGGTAAAAAAATCACCAGTGTCAGGATTCAAGATTCTGCCCGTGGGCTGGGGGTGTGGCTCAGTTGGCAGAATGTTTACATAGCATGCATGGAGGCCTGGGTTCCATCCCTAGCACCATAGCATCACATAAGCAGGGCATTGTGTAGTATGCCTGTAATCTTATGACTCCAGAGGTGGAGGCAGATGTTCAAGGCCAGAAGTGGCTACAAATTAAGTTGAGACCAGCCTGGGATACAACTGTCTTGACCACACAACTGTGTATGACTTGCTCTCTCACAGTGACTGTGTTATCAGACTCCTGAACACCTGCTTCAAAGATTAAGGATGCACCATATAGTATGCATAGGGAAACCACCAGCAGTTCAAGTCTAGCTAGAAGCTAAAGTGCCCCTCCTAGGCTGCACCCTGACTCCAGTCCCTCAGCACATCATTGGGAATCCCCCCAAAGCTGAAAAAATATGGTTCAAGAAGAAGAAGCAGAAAAAGAAAACAAACAGGAATAACAACAATTGGGTGAAAGGGAGGGAGACGGTGGGAAGAAAGACAACCCAGGAAGAAAATAATCCCACAGGGAATGGGCATGGTCATGCACACCTGTAGTCCTAGCACTTGGAGAGGCCAAGGCAGAAGGATTAGGAAATCAAGGCCAGTCTTGGCTACACAGTGAATTTCAGGCCAAATTGATACATGACATCCCATCCATCTCATCCCAGGAGGATGAGAAGGAGAAAGATGAAGGAGGAGGAAGAGGGCATACAGTAGGGTAAAATAAGCCATCATTTGTACCTTGTGGCTTTATAGGAGCTGTGACTATAAGGTCAGAGTTCCTCATTGTAGAAGCATCAGGTAATAGGTTGAGAAGGTGAAAGGTCTTCCTAATGATGGTATCTATATTTAGTTTAGGTCAGAAATTATAAATTATGACCATAAAAAAAAAGAAGCCCTAAGCTAGGCGGTGGTAGTACACACCTTTAATCTTAGCACTCGGGAGGCAGAGATGGATGGATCTCTGTGAATTTGAGGACAGCCTGATCTACAATGCCAGCTCCAAGACAGGCTCCAAAGCTAAAGAAACCCTGTCTCAAAACAAACAAAAAAAGAAGCCCTGGCTGAGCACAATGGTACAGACTTTTAATTCCAGCATTCAGGAGGAAGTAGTAAGTAGCAATCTGTGATTTCAAGGCTAGCCTGGTCTACTTTGCACTCTAGGCCAGCCAAGGCTATATAGTGAAATCCTGTCTTATACACACCTCTCAAATCAGAAAACAAACCCTGAGAAGACACCTTATCCAATCACTCTTATCCCTGTGGGGTATAGGAGGAGGATTGGCCCAAATGGTGGCCTCTGAAGCCTTCTGTGTGTGGCTTTGATATGTATGGAGCCATCTTTACCCCTGGCAACAAGGGGTTAAGATAATTAAAATCAGAAGTCTTGTTACTAGAGGATATGTTTTGATTATTAGATCAGACAGAGGGAAGGGAAAGATGATTTTGGAAAGAAGCATCACTGGATTGTTTCATTAACTACGCAGTATTAAAGAATTCCCTCAAGACACCATAAGAACATTAATTTGTGCAACTCTGTTTCATTGTGTGTGTGTGTGTGTGTGTGTGTGTGTGTGTGTGTGTGTGTGTGTGTGAAGGAAAACATTAGGGCCTTAACTGATTTAGACGAAATTGCTCTATATGAGAACTGGAGGGATGACAGCTTGCAGCTCAGCCAAGGAGCCATGGGCATTTGAGTCAAGATCTCATTGGGACAGAGGAGACACAGACAAATGATCAAGTGACGATGCCATCACCAGATCAGAAGTGATGACAATGCCCTAAGTCAGACTGGGCCAAGACCTCAAATTGGAGTTCTCACACTCGCCAGCTGGGCAAGCTGAGAGGAGGGAATGTTGGGCTTTGAGTCATCTACCTAAACCCAGGGCCTCCTCCCCACTGACACCTGGGCACAGGCACTTTCTGAGCCAGTGGAAGATACCCCTGCCAAAGAAGCAAAGGAGAAAACTAGCCTGGCAGAGCTATGGGTTCTGGCATCAGCCACAAACCAAGGCAAAATTGAGTTCTAGGTTTAAGTTGGTCATGTGTCAAAAAACAAAGCAAACAAACAAAAACAAAACAGTAAAAGAAAAAGGGCTGGGGAAATGGCTCAGTTGGTAAAATGCTTATGATGTGAGTTCTACCCCAGAACTACATAAGAAAGCTGACATGTTTTTAATCCCAGTGCTGGAGTAGAAATGGGTATATACCTGGGACTTGCTGGCCAACCAGCTGAGCCTACTCTTTGTGCCCTAGGTCCCAGTAAGAGGACTGTCTTAAGAGACAAGGTGGAATTTGCTACATAGCCCTGGTTGGCCTGGAACTCACAGGCTATTCTCCTGCCCCTGCCTTCTAAGAGCTGGGGTTATAGGCATCCACCACCATACTTCATATAAGAATAAAAATCTGGGGCTGGAGAGGTGGTTCAGAGGTTAAGAGCACTGGCCGCTCTTTCCAGAGGTCCTGAGTTCAATTCCCAGCAACCACATGGTGGCTCACCACCAAATGTAGTGAGATCTGGTGCCCTCTTCTGGTCTGCTGGCATATATGCTGATAGAGCACTGTACACATGATAAATAAATCTTAAAAAAGAAGAAAAAAGAAAAAAAAAGAATAAAAATCTGTTGCTCTGTCTTTTTCTCTTCTCTCACATTTCGAGACCAGGTCTAACACTAATAGTCAAGAGTGGCCTGAAAATTCTAGGCGTAATGACCTTCCTGCCACCTCAGGTTCATGCTTTATTGTATCTGTATTTATGTATCTGTGTGAAGTGCAGATGGAGAAGACATTGGATGTCTTGTTCTTCATTTGCTGTTGTATCCTCCTGAGACAGTCTTTCACCAAAACTGAAGCTAGACTTACAGCCACTAAATCCCAACAATCCCCTGTCTCTGTTCCCCACCAGAAATGGCATTACAGGCATGTATCAAACCATGCCAGGGGTTTTACATGGGTGCTGGGGTCTTGAATTCAGGTTCTCATGTTTACATAGCAAGTGCTCTTTACCTCTGAACCATCTCGATTCAGCTTTTCCCACTTTTCACAGTTAGCTAGATTTACTTCATTTACTGAACAGCAAGTGATAGCCACAGGCAGTCACTTACGTATGAACGAGGAGATACCCAGCAAAGACAGGTCAGCCTTGGGTGAAAACCCTGGGTCAGGAGCAGGAGGCCCTCCAGCTTGGCCAGAACCCTCGATGGTGCTGGTCTCACCTCCTTGTTTGCCAAACATACCTCCCAGAAGTCCCTCCTGGCCCTAACACCTAGCAATCTAGGATTCCAGAACTGTCTTCAAATTACACCTGCTTTGACTGGCTGCAAATACTTTGAAGTGTAATTACTATTATTTAGTGTATGTAAAAGGGTCTGGGTTCTGCATTAGGGAAGTGATCTTATGAAAAAGATTTAGAAGCCAGCTTCTGCTCAGTTGTCTAGAAGTCCATTTGAGACAGAAGGGATAGCATATGGCTCTATGGGTTGAGTCAACATCGAGTTCCAGGCCACATATTGGAGAGACAAAGAAGTCAGCTTGTGTGTGTGTGCGCTCAGATAGGACTTCTGTGGATCCCTGGGTGCTTGTGTAGTTTTAGAGAGACCAGAGTTTTGTGAACGGGGTCCTTGCCAGCAGGGCTCCATTAAAGCACCTAAATCTACAGAGATGGTCTTGACTGTGAGATTTGACCACCAAGCTCTCCACAAGGAGTAACCAGCAGTGCTGTGGGGAGACAGGAGCAGTCTTGGGAGATCCAGGTCCCAGGTGAAGCAGTGCAGTGGGCAGACAGGAGCAGGCAGGTATCTGCCAAAGCTGAAGGGGAGTGGTACACCAAGAGGGAAATGTCAAGGGCGGTAGTGAGGTCAGACTCAGTTTCCCTGTCCCAGGGATCTAGGACTTTGCTTAGAATTGACATGCATTCAAGGTCGCCAAGCTCACTGTGTGGGACAACATGGTCATGAAAGCTCATTCAAGCTTGCTAACCCCACCTTGCTCATGCTCGAATCCCCTTCCACGCCCTTACTTTGAGTGTGCTATTCTTGGCGCTCAGCTGCTGCTCCAGCTGTGAGATCTGGCTGGCGGAATTCTCACGAAGTTTGGTGAGGCTGGCCTGGAGTCGCTGCACATCTTCTACCAGCTGGGCGATCTCCCGCTCTTTGGCAGCCAACTCTACTTCCAGGCTGGATCGGGTCAGCACCTCTATGGCCTGCTCCTGGGAAGAAGAAAGCAATGACGAAACAGCACGGGCTCTAGGGTAGGAGGCTTGGGACCTGCCCACCTGCAACTGAGGCACAAGTCACATAGATAGGAGGGTGCACCCTGAAGGCTTCAGGGCTGGACATGACCTCTGTGTGCTGTCACCTGGATCTGTTATTTGAGCAAATACTGTCTTAGAATCTACCTTGTACTAGGCATGGGACCACTGAAGAACCGAAGCACAAAAGCCTGTCTTTTCCAGAGTCAGTTTAGACACACTGATTTGTGACGTATGATTGAGGTGGTGCTAATGACTACAGAAAATTGGAAGGAGAGAAGGTATGAGAGTTAAAGCCAGGGAGGTTCTCTATTTATTCAGTGGCAGAGTTTTACCATGTAAGCCTAGGCTAGCCTGAACTCATTGAAAGCCACCTCTTTCTGCTCGCTGAGAGCTGGGGTTAAGGATGTGCACTGAAAGGCTGTTATTATTATTGTTTCCCAAGACAAGGTCTCTCTGTGTAGTCCTAGCTGTCCCAGAACTCACTCTATAGGCCAGGTTGGTCTCAAACTCACAGAGATCCACCTGCTTCTATTTACTAAGTGCTGAGATTAAAGGCATGTGCCACCACCAAACCTCCTGGAAAAAGGCTCTTACATTAAAGTAGATTGACCAAAGAGTCTCACTGAGGTGGAGACCTGAAAGGCATGAGGTGATGTTTGGGGGAGAAAGAATTCTCAGCCAGTGGCACAGCAATGAGGGAAGCTCAGGTGACAGTACCTAGAACTTTGTGGAAACACATAGTTGGCTTTTTGTTGTTGTTGTTTTTTAGCCCTGTAGTGGGGATCCAGTGTCCTCTTACCTACAACAAGTATGCTTTTTGACAGACTGACTCCCAGTATTTTTGTTTTGCTTTTTGGTTTAACAAGGATGGCTTTCATGTACCTCAGGCTGGATTTGCTATGTAGGGAGGCTGGCTTTGAACTAGTAATCATCCTGCATTCACCTTTCAAGTGCTAGTATTATAGGTGGTCAACACCACTCCTGACTAGCATAAAGAGGTTAAAGATAAGGAATATACACATTGGTGGTTCCTCTGCTTAAAAATGCTTATGATAAACAAGTGGTTTCTTTTGTTAATTTTCCTCCCACCCCATGCTCGCTCTCTCTCTCTCTCTCTCTCTCTCTCTGATGTGTGTGTGTGTAGGTCAGAGAACAACTTGTAGGATGTTGTTCTCAGATTGCCAACTCAGCAGCAAGAGCCTCTACCTGTTGAACCATGGCTCTGAATATTCGTTATTAAAAAAAACAAAAAAGGGCTTCGGTGCCAGAGAGATGGCATGACACAGTAATTAAGAGCACCTGGCTGCTCTTCCAGAGGACCTAGGTTCTTTTCCTAGCACCCACTGTCTTTAAGTCCAGCTCCAGGGCACCTAGCACCCTCTTCTGGTCCAGGTAGGTACTGTATGTGTAGGGTGCACAGATACACGTAGGCAAAACATATCATACACATAAAAATAAGAAATAAAATGTCCAAAAATATTAAAAAGGGGATGGAGGGGTGACTTAGTGGCTAGGAGCATGAGCTCCTAGGATTTACATAGTGGTTCACAACCACCTGAGCCTCAGTTCTGGGGATCCAATGCCCTCTTCTGGCCTCCACTGGAACCAGGCTTTCACACAGTGCACAGACATACATGCAGACAAAGTACCCATACACATAAAATAATTAAAAACAAAAACAAAAAAATGGTTCATTGCCACTTAAAATCCTGTGTGGAAAACATCAATCAGAAAGGTGTTTAAAAACAAGCAAAGTTCAATCTATAACTTGGTTTTTCAATGACTCAAGCAATGTTTTCCCATGTGGTGGTGCACACATGTCATCTCAGCACTTGAGAGGCAGAGGCAGGAGGATAGAGAGCTTACCAGCCTGGGATACACAGTGATTTCCTGTACCCAAATTACCCCCCCACCCCAAATAAATAAAAGCAATCATGGCTTTTGGATAATTCTGGAAGCTTTTCTGCAGAGTAGAAACATTTGTGTATGAATGCTGTGGATCGGGGCTGGAGTGTGATCTCCATAGAATGAAAGAGCACGCACGTGCGCGCACACACACACACACACACACACACACACACACACACACACCATAGCACACAGAGGTTCCTTAATCTTGGTCTTGTCTAGTCTGTGCCCAAGGTGCTTGTCCCAGGGCACATGGCACATGTGGGGACAGGCAGTTATGGGGGAAGTGACTTTTCATAGCTCTGTCCCCAGAAATTCAGGCTTTTTTCTATTAAATTTCATGAAGGTCTATGTGCCAAGCAGACATTCTTCTGGTTCTTTAATTTGTATGATATTGTATTTTCTTCCTCTGACCCTAGGCTCTGCTGTAAAAATAGGCCATTCATTCCTCTGGCCTGGGCCCCTAAGTATCCCCTGCTGGCTTGTCCCCAGCACAGTCTATCACACCACTTTGTCCACCATGTATCCTACAAAAGTCAAATGAGATATGAACATATACCCCAAACTACCTGTTCCTTGGCCATAGCTGTCTCCTACATGCAGAAGCTCCTGTTGGTCCCATAATGGTATACAATGAGATGAAAGAAATGGAGAAGGGCCAGGGGCTGAGGTGGAGGGAAAAGTTTGGGTCTGGGAAATAATGCTGGGGACTGTTATTTTAGAGGCTAAGAATGGAAGAGAAAGGCATAATGGAGAAGGGAAATGCACACACAGAGGGAATAGGATGAGGGTAGGTCCAGGATGGCCTTTCAGTTTCCTCCTCATACCCAGAGGGGAGTAGGATTCATCCTTGCTTCTCTTTCATGCTGTATCACCTCAGTTCCTGTCTCTACTTGGAGAGCAAGGTTAGCTGGGTGGAACAGAGATGTTTGCTACATAGATGGACCTGCTTCCCAATATTCCATTTCCACTAGGCTCTAAAGATGGCCAGGTGTGCTGCAACTGTTCCTGAACTAATATTTGTCTGTAGGCATTTCACAAGGGCTATTTTAAGCATCCTGTCTTGCTCAGTGCCAGTCAAAGAGAAGCAGGTAAATGGATGAAGGAAAAGGAGCCTATGAACTACTTGGCACTTGTGTGGGTGCCTCATGCTTCTGTGAGACATCCAATGCATTGTTTCTGGCTTTGCCATAGCTATGGATTCTCCTCTTTCCCAGTTGAGTTCAGCCAGCCAAGCCCAACAAGTCCAACAGACCTTTTTTTTTTTTTTTTTTTTTTTCTTTTTTCTTTTTTTCCTGCTGGCTCTGTGCCTCAATGGGAAGGCACATACAGGGAAGTCCCTGCTCACTGTGGCTGGGAAACTGAAGCCAGGCCAGGTCAATGCTGCACTTAGCCCATGATGAAGTGTGGAAGCCAACCCTGGCCCCAAAACTGACTCGACCTGCAAAAACATTCATTTCCTTCTGGAATGTTTGGGTTTGCTGTGGCCCAGTAAGGTGCCAGGATTCTTTATAACTCAAACATTTAGTGCAGAAGCCCTGTTAGACATGTTAGGATGAATGGCTTCCTCCTAACCAAGGGCGGCCACAGAAGCTGGGAAGCTGCTGGCCCTGGCTCTAGGGCCTGCCTCTGCCCAGGGCATTTACATTTGGGTAAGGAAGAATAAAGGGGTCATTTCAGAGAAAAATAAGTGATTGTGTTCCTGAAGTGTGAAGGAAGTAACAGCCTCCTGCATAAGGACCTTTCTACTATACCCTGAAATGGTCAGAGCACTCTGTATTTAGTAATAATAATAATTTATTATTTTTGAGATGAGGTCTTATTGCTATGTAGCTTAGCCTGGCCAGTCCTCCTGCCTCAGTTTCCTGAGGGTTTTTTGGTTGTTGTTTTGAAGTTGAGTTTCATATAGCCCAGGCTGGTCTTGAACTTACTATGTAGCTGAAAAAGACCTTGAATTCCACATCCTCCTGGTTCTACTTCCCAGGAGCTGGGACTACTTATGTTTGACACTATGCCCAGGTACACCCTCTTTTTACAGATAGTCAGGGAGATAGGTTTCTTTGTCCCAAATCTCCAGTTCAGACACTTGGGAGCTGGGGTCTGGACTAAGCATCTTAGCTAGTGTGATGCTCTGTCACTAGTTCCAGTTACTTAAGGTCACCAAAGGCACCTGGAACCTGCTCATTCAGGGCTACCTTGACAGAATCTTGATAGTCACATGGGACTGGGCATGTTACTGCATGCCTGTAATTCTGGGATTGAGGAGGCTGAGGCAGGAGGATCACCAATTGGAGGTTAGCTTGAACTAATGTAGTGAGGCTTTGTCTCAAAAACAAATACAAAACAAACAAAAACAACAAAAACAAAAAAAGCAAGCAAGCAAGCAAGCAAGCAAGCAAGCAAGCAAGCAAGCAGGGCTGGTGAGATGGCTCGGTGCATAAAAATGCTTCCTGTGTGAGCCTGATGACTTGAGTTCAACCTCCAGAACCTGCATAGTAGAGGAAGAAAACAGATTCCTACAAGTTGTCTTCTGACCCTCACATATGTACAGCTACCCCTACACCTACAAAAGAAATAAATGGAGAGAGAGAGAGAGAGAGAGAGAGAGAGAGAGAGAGAGAGAGAGAGAGGGAGAGAGAGGGAGGGAGGGAGAGTTTGGATTTTTGGGTCCTACCCTTCCTGAATGTGTGCTTTTTAGCTGAGATTCCAGCCACTGTGTAAATTCAGGGCCAGCTGCTGTTTATGCCTCATTGGGAGGGCAGCCTCTGTTTCCTTGTGGAGTTCTAGGGAGGCACTCTTTTTCAGTTCTGGTTACCCCTGGTCTCCACCTGGCACAGGACATGTACATGCACACTGGGATCACCCCATGGCAACCATGGGACACCTATGTCAGCTTGTCAGATCTGGGGTCGCCTATGCATCAGACAGACCTGTGTGTGTGCTGTGAGGGAGTTTTGAGAGCCTGTTGGTTGAGGGGATAGCACCTAAGGCTGGGGTCCTGGAGTTGACAGAAAGGAGAAAGGCAGCTAAGCAGCAGCATTGACCTCTGCATCATAACTGCAGATGTGAGTAGCTGCAGCTCGTTCCTGCTGCCATGATGGACTGTGCCCTTGAACCATGAGATAAAATAAACCCTTGATTCTGTCCTTTAAGTTTCTTTGTCAGTCATTATGTTGTAGCAATGAGAAATGTAACCAATATACCCACCAAACAACCACTCTTGCTCAACTGTTATTCCAAAAGGAAGAGTGGGATGGGAGTGACTGGGGTGGGAATGGGGAGAGCAGGGCCAGGGCTACCCACCACGTCTGGAGCCTTCTGGATCTGTGAGGCCAGCTGGAGAGAGTGGTTGGCCGATGAGAGCTGTTCCCTTAAAGTCTCTGCCTCTCTCTGTGCCACCTCTGCCCTCTGAGAGAAACAAAAGGGGGGGGGGGGGAGAGAAGAAAGTACATTTGGTTCAACAGCTGACAATTATTACAAGAACATTCATCAATTCATGCCTGACTGACTGTAATTGATTTTCCTAAACACTCAACCTAATAAATGCTATGGAAAAACACACACACACACACACCCTAGAATGTGATGGATTTTTATTTTAAACAGTACAAGGAAGAAATAATTGAGCGATTATGACAGTAATTTAACGCTAGGAGCGAGGAATCCCCTGCTGGTATTAATGCTCCGGCCCATTGCTTTTCCCAGACTGAATAAATACCGCTGGAAATAGAGTCTTCTGATTCAATTTCTTTCTATTCTCATGGACCGGAGAGACTTTATCACAGGCTTACTCCTGGGAGTCATTCTCATGGGTAAACACTTTATTAAAGATACTCTGGCCATTTTCCCCACCACACACACTATATTGTGGTTGTTTTCATCCATGGTGTATCTTCATGAGTGGACTGGAGAACTCTGGCTTCTTTTGTGAGGGATGGACTGGGTTCTGCAGTTAACCCTTCAGGGGGGAACATTTGCAAATATTGGCATATGCAGCTAGCCAGGCTTCTCTGGGCCAGCTGTAAGTGGACAACCCAAGCTGGTGCTGGGAACTTGAACAGAAATGGCTGGATCCTTTTGTAGTATGTCTAGGACCCTGGATAAGAAAGCTGGCTGCTGCAAACTCACACTTGCCATTGGACAAAGAGGAGAGCCACTCTAGTGCCTATCACTCAAGAGGCCTTCTGGAAAGATAAGCAGGGGGACAACTATCTATGATTCTGGGGCCCCTACATACTCATCTGTAGAATGGGGATGTTGTGCTCACTCAAGCACCTGGGTTGGGCTCCTTGACCACATTGGTTTACGATGGGAGCAGTTTTTCATTGGGCTTATCCAGGTCTTATTATTATGACTAAGACATTAGGACGTAGACTGAGAGTGATATGCTACTTCTCTATACCCTTGGCAAGTTATATTCTGTTATCATAAAAAGTTAATGAGGGAGGCAAGGCAGGAGGATTCTGAGTTTGAGGACATCATGGGCTACACTGGGTTTTAAGCAAGCCTGAGCAATACAGTGAGTAGAATGCCACCTGAATTACACAATGATTTCAAAGCCAATTTGGGCTATGCAATGAGTTCAAAGCCAGCCTGAATTACACTAGGAAATCTTGTCTCAAAAACCAAAACAAAAAGTTATCTACAAAATAAAACAGGAAAGGTTAATGAAGAAAGCTGGCTAAGCAAGATTTTCCCATCAATTACTAAGAGAGAAGTCACAGAGAAAAAACAACGTGTTAGCTTGCACTGGTGCATGCTGGCTAATCTGTTTGTACAATGACAGGGTGGGGTAGCTGGAGTGACTTGGTGGTGGCACCAGTGAGCCAGTATACAAGTTAGAATGGAAGGATAGTTTATCTGCCTAGGGTGGGCCTGGTAGCCAACTGTCCTGCTTGTTGGAGAGCTTGGGGGAACAGCTTTTAATCTGCCACATCTATGCCCAAGTGTTTCCTGACACATCTCTGCTCCAGACAGAATGGAGAACCAACAGGAATCTAGAGCCAAAGGGACTGTAGAACCAACTGTCGGGCTAAGTTTTTAGTATTATGACAAGAATGGAGAAAGCAATGTCTGCTTCATGCTAACTATCCAATGAGTCTTATTCCCAGCCTTTCACTGGGGGATTCTAGGCAGGTGTTCTGTCAAGGAGACCCATCTTGCCTCTTCACTGAAGAAATCTAGGCAAGGTCTCTATTGCTGAGCCACACCCCAGCTTCTCAATGGGGGATTCTAGGCAGGCATTCCATCACTGACACAAATCCCTTGCTTTCTTTTTACTTTTTATTTTGAGACAGATTCATACAAGCTAATTTGCCTAGTCGGGTCTTGAACTTGTAGCCCTTCTGCTTTAGCCTTATAAGAAGTTGGGACAATAGCTGTTTTTCCCAGTTTCTCTGGCAGGCAAGACACATAACTGAAAATAATTTCCTCCTAATTAGTGAGGAAAACTTTCAAGTACATAATTCCCACAGCTCTTCCAGGAATAAAATGTATTTTGACAAATTTCCTAGTCTCTTTGATGAGTAAAATATTTCTTCATCTATTAGGGAAGAAGTTCTGATAGATGCTGAACAGGTAGCATTACCACAGTGGCATGTTACACTGGCCCTGTCTCCTAGAACCATTTGAGATGGGGATGGCCCAGGTACTAAGTTCATCATTAGTCCTAAAAACTTGTAAAGATGCCAGGTGGCTGAGTACCACCCATCACAGACTGAGGCATCAGCTAGCCACTTGCAGTTTTCCTAGGGTCAGCACTTGTATTAAGTCCCCAAGGTCACAGTGGTGTGAGGTGTGGAGGGTTCAGCATTGGGGAGGCTGATTCAAGAGGACAGTAAGGTTGAGATTAGCCTGGGCCACACACAGAGAGCATTCTCAAAAAACAAACAAACAAACAAAACCCTAAAAACCAAAAAAACAAAAACCAAAACAGAAACAGGTTGGGCATGATAGTGCATTCCTTTAATGCCACTTTGAAGCTAGCCTGGTCTACATAGTAGAACCCTGTCTCAAAAAAAAAAAAAAAAAAAAAAAAAAAAAAAAACCACAACAACAAAAACAAAAAACAAAAAACCAACAAAGTCAAAACAAAGGTAGGGGTGGCTGCTTAGCCTGTTATAGTTACTACCTAAAAAAGAAAGGTCTGGGGATGTGGCTCAGTTGGTAGAGTGCTTGTATGCATGCACGGAGCCCTGGGTTCCATACCATCACTGACTTGACTGGGCATGGTGGCAGAAGCCTGTAATCCCAGTGTTTGGGAGGTAGAGGCAAGAGGAACAAGAGTTTAAGGTCATTCTTGAGGCTAGTTTGGGCTATGAGATCCTGTCTCAAAACAAACCAAAAACAAATCAATGAAGCTGCTATGTTTGAAGTCACTGTTCCAAGGTGGCCAAACTTGGTTACTTTAGTGCAAATTCTTGGTTTCACATTTACTTAGGATTTCTACTGCAAAATGCACCCACCCTCAGCATTATCAGCAATGACTATCTGCCACCAACAATTACAAGGTATAGACCGGAAGAATTAAAAACCAGAGCAGTTCAGGGAAGGAGTAAAGGATAGGGTGATAGACACTAGTTGGGAGCTGGGGTAAATCTGTTTCCAGGTTGATAGCCACCCTGCCCCCCCTCCTCCCCGGCAGCTGAGGCAGACAATGAGGGGGTTAGTGCTCCCTGTTTGGAGACTCACACACTCTTGACAAAACCACAACTCAGACCACTATGTTTGGGATGCAGAACTGACCCCATCATTGTGGAATGAGACACTACATGCTTCTGAGTGCTCTCAGACAGGCACATTCCTGCAGAGGCAGAGCCAGGGGAACACAGGACAGGCCCTTGAACAGCAAGCAGGGACAGCACTTGCCACCCTCTGTGGCTGCCCTTATGCTTTTTCTTGAGAAACAATTTCTGGAACAGAGGGAGAAGAAGAGGAGGGAATGAGGTAGAACAGGAGCAGTACTGACCTTTGCAGAGAACAGCTACTCTCTGCAAATCAGCTGGGGACCAGTGAGGTAGTAGAAGTCAATGGTGACTGTGCATACCACAGTGACAGTGTCAAATAATTAAGACCATCTCTGGGGCTACAATGTGCTCTTCAACTAAGATAGATGACTTTGGGTTTTGAGACAGGGTCTTATGTAGTTCCGGCTTGCCCCAAACTGACTAAGTAGCTGAAGATGACCTTGAACTCTTGACCCACCTGTCTGGTTTAAATTGTTCCAGGGATGAAATGCAGAGCTTTGGGCATAATAGGTGATACTCTATCAACTGAGCTATACCCCCCTCCTCTTCTTTTCTCCTTTTTTGTTTTGTTTTGTTTTTGAGACAGGATCTCAACTCCTGACCCACCTCCCAAGTGCTGACATTACAGATGTTAAGGCACCACATCTGACTACTTCCCTTGGTTTATATGGTGGTGGTGGGGCTTCAATCTATTCATCTGCCCCCTTTGGCCCTAGATTATTTGCCTATGTTTTCTCTGTATATGTGGCCACTAAAACACAGATATGGGGAAAGCCAAGATGAGGAAATCCCTGCAGCAGTAAAGTGGCCTAGTGTGTGAGCTAGTGATGGATGGCATGTGGCCAGAGCCATGAGAGACCAGAAGTGACCCTGTCAGTGGTTCTTCAGGAACCTGGAGAAGGACATGGGCAAGATATGAGATACTTGTCACCCCATGTACCAAGCAGATGGGGCATTTGGAGCTAGGTCCCCTTCAGAGTCACCACTTGTATTGCTGGCCACTGCAGGCCAGGGCGAAAAATCACTTCTGCAAGCATCGGGACTACAGGAGAGTCTGATGAGCAAATTTCCCTACTTCTGACTGCCACCAAGGTGCTCCCTGTGTGTTCTAGGACAGAAATGTAAGACAGGGCCAAACCAAGGAATGCCAAACCCAGTCGGCATGTGCCTGGCCCCATGGGGAGGGCCAGGTCTTGGTTTAGGAAGCCAGCATGACATCACCATCCAGGGCTGCTAAGAGCAGGGTACAAGGGCCAGTTGAATGAAAATGAGAGCATATGTGAATGAAATCCTGCTTCCATTCCATGGATGGTGGCATCTGGGTACTAGAGTGGTGTTTTGGTTAGGGTTTCTTTCCCCCCCCCCTTTTTTTGGTCATCCTGATACAAGCTGGATTTATTTGAGAAAATAACCTACATCAAATTACCTGTGTAAGCCTGTGGGACATTTTCTTGACCAATGATTGATAAGGGAGGGCCCAGCTCACTGTGGGCAGGTGATCTTGGAGCTATAAGAAAGGATGCTGAGTAAGCTATGGGGAACAAGCCAGTAAGCAGTGTTCCTTCATGGCCTCTGTTTCAGGTCCTGCCTCTGGATTCCTGCCTTGAGTTCTTGGCCTGATTGACATGCAAGGTGAAACAAACCCCCATTAACACATAAGAACCTAGCAGAAGAATGTCATGTACTGTGGAGCTCTTCCCACTCCCTGTATCTCATCTCATTACAGCACCTGGCTCCTTCTCTTTGGGGAAGTTAAGCTGTTTTCCAGGCTTGAAGATGCACCTCAGTTGGTAGAGTGCCTGTCTAGCAGCATGAAGCCCTGGGATTTGATCCCCAGCACTGCATGAACTACATGGCAATGCATGCCTGTAATCTCAGTACTTGGTGGGTGGATGCCGGACTATCAGGAGCTCAAAGTCATCCTCAGATACAGAGTGGATTTGGACAGCCTGGGCTATGAGAATCCTTCTCAAAAACAAATAAACAAACACAAATAAGAAAGCAAACAAGCTCTATCCCCAGCCCAAGGGGTCTTTCCTGGTTGTCTTGTTCTGTAAACACCAGCAGGATAATAGGAGGAGATCAATTTGGTTTAAATAGCTTCCTCTAGGCCCTACTCCTGTGGCTTTGTGTCAGGAATCAGAGCTGCTCTGGAAGGGGAACAGGGAGAGGTATAGCTGGCAGCCAGCCACACAGGGAAAAGAAGACATGGTTCCTCCATGCTCTTTGATGTACCAAGCTAAGGTTTATTTATCAAGAAATTCTGGGAGTTCAGAATCTTTCCTTTGAGTAGCCAGTTACGATGATAACTATTAATGTGAGTGCTGGAAGTTGACCAAACATGTGTTAAGGAGACTCCCCTGCTTCCCTAATAGCTACTGCCCATTTTTCTGGTTCCCTGGGGTAGAGACATAATCCCTGAGCAATGAAACAGCACTATGGGTTTCAACAGAATGTCTGGGATAAACCCAGGGCAAAACCAACACTAAAAGTCAATGAACTAGCGAATTGCTCCTCCTGGGCGGGTCCCATGGTCCAGATGTATGTGGCACCTATGGCACTCTGGCTGTGTGTAGCCTGCTCTTGCTCAGCCTACTTCTGCCTTGTTTCCCTGGGCACCATCTCCTGTCCCATCCTGTAGGCTTCTCCTGTTCTGCCACCAGAGTTGCTTGCTGCTCCCTTGGCTTCTGGCTTTCCCAGCGCCATTCCTTACTGCAACTTTATCTACAGTGATTCCTTTATTTCTTTCTAATGATTTTTTAAAAGATTTATTTTAGTTGGACATGATGGCCCACACCTTTAATCCCAGTGCTAGGGAGGCAGAGGCAGGTGGATGTCTGTGATTTTGAGGCCATCTTGGTCTAAAAATGGAATTTCAGGCACCTAGGGCTGTTACACAGAGAAACCCTGTCTGGAAAAACAAAAGGAAACAAAACAACAACAACAAGGTGTGCGAGGTGTGTGTGTGTGTGTGTGTGTGTGTGTGTGTGTGAGAAAGAGTGAGTGCAGGTGCTCTGGGAGTTCAGAAGTCGCTTTCTGATCCTCAGGAACTGCCCAGCATAGGTGCTAAGACCAAACTTGGAGCCTCTACATGAGTGTTATGTGCTGAACAATCTCTCCAGCCTCAAGTGACCTTTTAATTGAATACAAATCCAGGATCTCCATCCTTGCAGTATACCCACTGGTCCCAGGATAAAGCTCCTCTCTCCCTAACCTGCTGGGCATTCCTAGCAGACTGCTCTCTAGCTGCTGGCCACACAGCCTAGCTTTCCTCTAATGCCACCTCCAGTTGTTGCCCCGTAGACTTTCATCTCTCTCTCTCTCTCTCTCTCTCTCTCTCTCTCTCTCTCTCTCTCTCTCTCTCTCTCTCTCCCTCCCTCCCTCCCTTCCTTCCTTCCTAAACAGGGTTTCTCTGAATAGCTCTGGCTGTCCTGGAATCCCTCTGTAGATCAGGCTGGCCTCACATGGATCGCCTGCCTCTGCTTCCTGAGTGCTGAGTTTAAAGACATGTGCCATCATTACCCAGAAATTTTCATTCTTTTTCTCCAATCCCCTAGACAACCTTTTAGGGCTTAGATATTCCCTTCTCAGATGCAGTACCAAGGGTATCCACCCTTTTAATACTGTAACACAATGTTGTCATCTGCAGAGCTTACACTAGTCAAACAAAACCAAAGCAAAGCAATGCTCCCTAAAAACAACAAACAAACAAACAAGCAAAATAAAAGCTCCCCAAAACAAATGAGAAAAAAAACACCCTCTAATGTGCCAAGACAACCTTAAGTTAGACTTCTGGGTTTCTTGTCCCAGCTCAGTGATGGACCAGGCACTGACTGGCTTTTCCTATTTATAAAATAAGAATCCTAACCATGTGGATCTCAGTGGGGAGGCTGGGCAGGTGAAGTGATAGGATCCTGGCAATGTGCTTAGATAGACTACATATAGAACATTCCAGGATGCACAACCATTCTGACTAGTACTAGGGTGGCTAAGACTACCTAGGAGACCTCAGGTGACCAGTGTCATACTCTCCACAGAAAGCCCCTTACAGGCCAAGCCCAGGACCTTAAGAAAGGCCTAAGCACCAGTTACTACCCCCACCCAGTTCTCCTAAGGGAGTAACAGAGCCAAGCATTCCATCATTCCCTCCTATGCAGGTTTTCCTGGTTAATTTTATCAGGGAAAAAATGGACAGTGATTTTCCCTGAATGCAGATCAAGTTTGAGTGACAGTACCTGTGAAAGACAGGTGACCAATGAGTTCCTGAGGGGACAAGAGGGGCTGCAGGGATTCTGTCTGGGAGGCTTTTCATTTCACAGAGAGGCTTGAACTCACTGGGTGGGGTCACCCAATGCAAGATTCAAAACTTTCCTATGCCTATGGCTACCCAGCTGTAAAATTGAGTGGGCAGAGGCCACAGGCCACGTCCTGGGCTGAGAAACTTAATTTCTGCTTTAACTGTTTCTTCCCCCAGTGAAGAACCCATGGTGACCAGCCTGGAGTGCAGCTCAGTTAGTTGGTAGAGTGCTTGCCTAGCATTTATGAAACTCTGGGCTTGGTCTCTAGCAGTGCATTAACTAGAGGTGTAGGTACACACTTGCCATTCTAGCATGGGGAAGGTAGAAACATGAGAACCAGAGGTTCAAGGTCTTTCTTACTTCTATAGCTAGTTCGAGGCCAGCAGCACCAGTTATAAAAGCAAAGTATTTACTGCCCTGTAGGGCCTGTGGGGGCCGGGAGGTTTGTGGAGAGCTGAGTGCTTTCTTGGAACCATCTGATACTATAACTGTTCTGTGTGTGATACTGTGCTATGTATTTCCTGAAAAGTATGTTTGATAACTGGGCATCAGCAGAGAGGAGCTGTCCACTAGGAGCTCCACTAGAGTAAGTAGTAGGAACCAACTAGGAGTTGACAGTTAATTCTATGGTATAATGGATGCCTGAGGACAAGGCACCAGACATGCTCAACCTTATGGCATTGGGATGACATTTTCAACTTCAATGTGAATTCACACTCGGGAACTGTACAGCTGCAAATCAATCAATCAATCAATCAATCAATCAATCAATCAATCAATCATTCAATCTCACAATGTTTTAATAAGTTTACAAGTTTGTGTTGGACCTCACTCATGGCCATTCTAGAATTCACGTGGCCTTTGGGCCATGAGTTGGACACTCCTGGAATTTATGCAGGGGATCAGAAAAACAACAAGTACCCTTATGTATCTGTGTCTCAGAAACTGGGGTTGAACCTGAGATTCTGCCAAGGAATAGTGCTGCAGATGCACTTCTAACTTCTGTGACACTGTGAAAATGGATCCACAATGATCACCCCCATCATGGAGTGAGGCATCTCTCAAGACATCAGAATGGGAGAGCTATGGTGTTTTATAGTGAAGGTATGAACAGCTTACCTGGTTGGCTCGTTCAAGGTCAGTCATGATCATCTCAATCTCATCGGCCCTGTGAAAGCAAGAGGGAGAGAGGTTAGTCACCACTAAGGCAGGCGCAGTGAAGTGACCAAGGCTCTGGCATTAGGGAGGGGAAGACCATAGACAGCATGCCTATTTGCTTATTATTATTGTGTGTGTATATCCCCCTGCCATAGTGCCAAGGATAACTTTCAGGAGTTGGTTCTACTCTTCTATTGTGGGCTCCAAGAATCAGACTGAGGCCCTCAGGCATAAGCAATAAGCGATTTTATCCACTGAGCACCTCATCAGACCTTAGTTAATTAACTAGCTTGTCCTAAGATAGGGTCTCCAGTAGCCAAGGTTGATCTCAAAATGGCCGTGTAGTCAAGGATGACTATGAACTACTGCACCTACCACTCAAGTGCCAGGATTAAAGGCATCTGCCTGCCACACTGTGTTTTGAGGCAGGTTCTCTCACTGGCCCAGAGCTGACTATGTAGTCCAGGTTGGCTAGCCAGAGAACCGCAGAATAGTTTTAGGTGGCTCTAGAGATTGAACTCAGGTCCTCATGCGTGCACAACTACTTTAGAGACTGCCATCTCCTCAGCCCTTCATCATCCTCTAGTTCTGCTGAACTTTCTTCATTCCAACATTCTCCCACTTTGACTAGCAATGGGTTGGCACATCCACTTCTGTCTTCCACATCATTCAACTGTTTCTTTGTATTTTTCTCTTTTTACTCCTTTTAAAATAGAGGGATTTTTTTTTTTCATTTTTTTTTTTTTTTTGGTTTGGTGTGTGTTGGGTGGGAGCATGCCCCATGGTGGTATGTGTGGCTGTCAGAGGGCAATTTTAAGTCAATATTTTCAGCATGTGGGGTCCTAGGGATTGAACTCTGGCAAACACCTTTATCCAACTATCTTACCTGTCCCTTATTCTTTTTTTTTTTTTTTTTCTCCTTTTAGGCATCATCAGTTTAATATAAAAGGGAGGCAGGAAATTATTTACATGATGAATAGTTCAGAATGTCGTCAGAATGGGCATCTTCATGTGACACCATTTCAACAGTGATTTCAGTCCATATACTTTCCAAGAATGTCACAATCTCTAAATAAGAAATAATCATTGTCGTCTAGAAGTACTTTGGTGCCTTGGTATTCTGGGAGAATTCTGTCTTCAACTTCCACATTAATTGGCTTAATCTCTCCACCCTTTCCTTTTGAGCTTGATCCCACAGCCACTACTGTTGCTTGCAATGCTTTTCCTTGAGACTTTTCTGGAAGCATAATGCTACCTTTGGTCACAGTTTCAGCAGTACTCCTTTCAATCAATACCTCTGTCAAAGAGTGGTAGAAACTTTTTGAAAGCTTGTCCAGCCATGACTTGCACTGCCGCAGCTCTGACTCTACCTTCGGGCCACCTCTGCAAGCCTGCCCCTTATTCTTTAAAGACAGACAGACAGACACACCCACCCACCCACCCACCCACCCACCCACCCACCCACCCACCCCCACACACGTGTGCATGAATGCATGTCATAGCATGCATGTGGAAGGTGGTTCTCTTCTTTCACCTTTATGTGGGTTTTGACAACTGAACTTAGGTCACCAGGTAAGTACAGCAAGTGCCTTTACCTGCTAAGCCATCGCGCTAGACTTTTCTTTATGCTTTCCTGCTGTCTGCGGAAAGTTCTTCAACTTGTCCTAACTGGTCTTTAGCCATGCCCCACTGCAAGTTAGCTGTTTTCTGTTTTTGTTCCTTAGAAAATCGCTACACCTGTTATTTTGTCTTAGTCCCATTGCTTCCCTTGCTACAGGGATCCATCTCTTGCATTTGCTTTCCCTTTACTGCTCCTCCCCAGAGGTCACCTAGGATTCTCAGGGAGAAGGTTGCCCCCTCTGGGTGTAGTACCCAGGTTGCCTGCTTGTACACTTTACACCAGGAAGAGCTGCAGCTAGGATACAGAAAGCTGGTAGGGCTGCCAAAGGCTCAGCCCACCTCTGCAGGGGTTTGGGAATGGGAAAGTAGAATTTAGATAGATTCTGGAAGGTTTGGAGCTCCATGTTTCTTCTTCAACAGTGAATGGTGTATGAGGCATTGTGGACACATCTATAATTCCAGCACTGAGAAGGATGAAACAGGATGATGAGCCTAGGCTACATGGTAGGATTCTTAAAAATATTCATCAGAATTCCTTTTTTAAAATTTTACGTGCACAGTGTTTTGCCTGTGCATGTGTGTTATACATACATACATACTTACATATATGTGTGAATGAACCATAAATATGCTTTGTGCCCAGAGAGGCCAAAAGAGGGTGTTAGATTCTATGGAACTACAGTTACAGATGGTTGTGAGCTGCCATGCAGATGCTGGGAATTGAACCTGGGTCCTCTGCAAGAACAGCAAGTATTCTTAACTGCTGAGTGTCAAGGATTCCTATTATTTAGGAAATGCAACAAAAGATTTCAAATTCTAGTCCCTTGAACTGGGGCTAGAGATGGCTCAGTGGTTTGATTCCCTAGGAAACTGCATTAGAGAAGAGACAAGACTTCTGCAAGTTGTCTTCTGACCCTCATACAGGTTCATGGCAACTGTGCGCACACACAAACAAGTAAATAAATAACCGTAAAGCAATTTTGAAAAAACAAAATAAAATGCCACCTAGTCCCATTTAAACAGGAAGGTGCTTTCTCTGCTCTTTGAAGGAATTCCTGGAAGTGAATTTCAAGTTTTCCATTGGTGGGTCAGTCTAACTTTGGTTGCTAAGCAACCACAGAACTGAGCAAAATAATGAATGTGATAATGGCAGCTGTGCATTTCACTGAGAGAGCACTCATGGCTTTCCTGGACTCTCAGAGGGGACTGACAATACTCTTGTGCTGTGGTAGAGCAGAGTTACTCAAACCTGAAGACTGTGGTGAAACCCAGACCCAGAGAGGTTATTGTTCCCAGAAACAGGAGACAGTGAGGGAACAAGGCTTGTCCCAAAGTCTACATCTCCATCATCATTAATTTATTTTTCAAGGCATGGCTTCTCTGTGTAACAGCTCTGGCTGTCCCTTTGTAGACCTGGCTGGCTTCCCAGAGATCCACCTGACTCTGTCTCTTGAGTGTTGGTTTTACAGGCATGTACCACCACCTCTTTGCCTATTATTATTACTTTAAATGATTTGTCTTTTTATTTTTGCTTGCATGTATATCTGTGTGAGGGTCAGGCCTCCTGGAACTGGAGTAACAAACAGCTGTGAGCTGCCATGTGGGTGCTGAGAATTAAACCAGAGTCCTCTGGAAGAATAGCCAGTGCTCTTAACCTTTGAGCTATCTCTTATTATTTATATTACATTTCTGTTACAGGATCTGATATATCCCAGTCTGGCCTCAAACTTACTATGTAGCTGAAGATAACCTTGAACTTCTAATCCTCTTGCCTCTCCCTCCTGTGTGCTGAAATCATAAGAATGTGCCATAATATTTAGTTTACATAGTGCTGGGGATGGAGCCCAGTGTTTGGTGTTATGTTGGGCAAGAGCACCAAATGAGCTACAATCTCTAACCCCAGCAGCCCCTCCCCAGAGATGATTACTTTCTCTTAGCTTTTCAGGAGAAGGACTTTCACCCCCTTCTCTAGGTCATAGTGGATGACATAGTCTAGGTCTAGTGGATGACAGGTATGCTGTAGCATGCTGTGCACCACTAGCTGGTGATTTCAATGCAACCTTGAGTTCTGGGAGATGTGAAGCACAGCCTGGGCCAACACAGTGGGCCCCACCTTGAAGCACCAATCCCCTAGGTTTTGATAACCCACCTGTGCTAGTTACTTCTTGTCAATTAGATACAGACTAGTCATCTGGGAAAAGGGAACCTTAACTGAGGAATTGCCTCCATCTAATGGGCCCATAGGCAAGCCTGTAGGGCCTGATTAATATAGTGTGGGAGGATCCAGTCCACTGTGGGTGCTGGGTTGTATAAGGAAGCTGGCTGACTGAGTTCCTTTCATGTTCTCTTCTTCAGCTTTTGCCTTGATGTCCCTCAACAATGGATTGTGATGTAGAAATGAAATTAACCCTCTCATCCCCGATTTGCTTTTGGATAGTGAGTGTTTCATTACAGCACTAGAGAAGCAAACTAGAACACAGCCTCTCAGCTGCACCTCATTTGCCAACAAAATCAAGCCCAACAGATCACTTGTCCTTAGTAAGTTCAAGGGAAATTTCCAGGAGCCAAGAGTCACATCTGCTGCTTTACCAGGACAGGGATGAACTGGGTGAGTTTCATATCATGACAGTTCATCTTGGAGAGGGTTTGCTTTCCTTCTTTCTCCCCCACCCCCTTTTAAAAGATGAGTATTGCAATATAACCCTTCTTGGCCTAGTATCATTATTTAGTCCCGGGTTTGCAGGAATCCTGTCTCAGCCTCTGGGATTACAAGTATGCATCACTGTATCTGGCTGTAAAGGGCACTATCTATCTATCTATCTATCTATCTATCTATCTATCTATCTATCTATCTATCTATCTATCTATCTGGTCCCATAGACCAAGAGTCTGCAATCCCCCTGCCTCTGCTTCCTGAGTGCTGGGAGTACAAATGTGTGCCACCATGCCTGGCCATTCTTTCCATGTCAAAGTTGCTGAAGAACATCAGATTGACTTTTGTCTAAAATCTTTTATATTTCCAAGTCTGTAACGCTGCAGCCTGTTTGCTCAGCACAATTTATTATAAAAACCTCATCCTCTCACCCTTTCGTGAACTGACAACACAGCATCCACTGTCTATTAACCTGCACTGTTTTATGCTCTTCCCTGACATCAAGCATGGGGTCATTTCATCAGGGCCTAGAATATATATAGTTCATTCAGTTGTTTCCCTGCACATCATTTCAGGGTATTCTCTGGGCTAACATACCATTTTTATGACAAACTTCAAAGGACACGGTCAAGGTTGATGGAAAGGAAATTATACCCATGCTAGACACCATGTATTTCCTTTCGCACAAACCTCCTGAGTGCTAGCAACATCCGGCCCAGCGCCAGGCTGCTGCATAT